AGAGAGAGAGAGAGAGAGAGAGAGAGAGAGAGAGAGAGAGAGAGAGAGAACAAAAAAATGTAACAAATAATTTGAAAGGAAAAAATTTGCACAAATCAATTCTCGCTTTCTCAGTCTTATCACATTCGACTTCGCGTTCGCCCGTGTCCGCCCGATATAACTCTATACTTTCGCATTTATCGCCGCAGCAATTTGTTTACAATTTTCTGTTTCGTACACACCATAAGAGATTATTCACTTTGACGTCATACGTGTACGTAGACTTTTTCTCTCGTTTTGATGATTGCTATTTTTGCTAGCAGCAAAAATGCCTCTATGCGGCCCCCGTTACGTAACTGCCCAATTTGCTCGTTGAATGCAATCCAATCGGCGAATTGCATCATCTTCTTCGGTTTTAAAGGCTTGTTTTGGTTGATAAATCCGCTTTTTTTCGTTTCGGTGACTTGACTTGCATTTTTACACTGTAATCGGCTCGGAAGTCCATGTTGACACGTCGTAGCGATATGAACGGCTCAGATAAGACTTTTTTCGGCCACAGTTCAAAGGTATTGCCGGAAAAAAAAATTTCTCCCATCATGCACAAATTGATAAGCATGGTGACAACGAAGATAAGAAACGATAAATTCGCATTGAAGAAATAAATGAAAAATAATTCAATGGGCTGAATTGTAGGCTTATTTTGGCACCATCCATTGATGAAAGTATGTTTTTATTTTTCATTTTTTCCTTAGGATACTCCGCCCAGGGGCAATTTGGGTTAATTTGGGGCCATTATTATATCACTATAGCGATGTTTCAGGTGAAGGAAGCATTGAACCATCCTACGAAGATCTGCTCTTGATCATCCGCGCCGTCGGATTTACAATTTTGGTAAATATTCAGACTTGATTCGAATTTTTTGAGTGGCGGTCATAACACCCCGGACGGACAGCATACTCTAATTTAAAAAAAAAAAATACAGAAGCATGCTGTCCATCCGAGGAGGTATGACCGCTACCCGAATATCTATGTTCATTTTGACCAAAATTGAAGAAAACATGTGGAGAAATGAAGAAAAATTTACAAAAAAAAATTTCCCCAACAGAAAAACGAGACGGGCATTAAGACAAAATACGCTCAAAATCCACGGTCAATGCAGCAAAGTGAATATTTAAGTGTATTTTTCGTGTGTCAAAAGCCACTTTTGATGAATGATGACGATGAATACCAAAACGGTAATAGTGATAAGTCAAATGATTCAAATGGACATGGACATCATTAAGTATGCAGTCGCTTCGAATAAAAGCCAATACACTAAATAAGCAGTCACCAAATAAAAACAAAATGAAACAAATCATCAACAACAACAACAACAACCTGATAAATGACATAATTGTGTTACAATGATGATTTCATATTGATAAAAATCATCCATATTGAATTGTTTTTTTTTTTTGCTCTTAAGTATTGTAGTTGACTAGAAATCGAACGAAAAGTGGTCGAAAATATGAATAGAACGAAAAAAGAAGTGTCATTTTTTTTTGTACAAGAACCGCCGGATTAGATTGTAACGCCAGTAGATTTATGGAAATGAAAAAAAAAACATGATATTAGGATGAGATAAGTTTCTTTTTTGGTCAAAATTCTTATTTGAAATGAGAATTGATTTGAAAATTTAATGCAAAATTGCAGAAAGATAAAAAATTTAGAAAAAATAAGTCATTTCGGCTTCCAAACCAAAATGAATAACACATTCAGGGAAAATAATAAGAGAGAAAAAAACACTCTAAATTTGTTGATAATTATTTTTTTTTTTTCAATCTTCGTTTGGAAAGAGTAAATTTTATTTCGAAAACCAAGAAGAAAGAAAAAATACATGAAAATTCGCTCAAAAATTGGCATTCAAAAACTGTACGAATAGATCGGGTGCTTTGTCTAAGTTGTGACCGCCAGCTGAATGCATTTTATTGTAGTTGAGAAATTGCCGGCGCAACTTATTTAATTGACTGGCATTTACAGTGGCTGGTATTTTGACATGTAAATTGTCACGAATTTGAACGGGTCCCATGACGCCAATTTTACGCGCTGATATCACAGTGTTGGTTATTTCTTGCGTCAGCTTATCCATTTCGTACAGATAATTTGTTGAGGTCATTGGTGCCTGTTTTGAGATAGATAAACAGAGAGAAAGACGATTTTTATTACTTTAAACAAATAAAAAAAGCAAATTTTGTTTTCTATATAAATTTCGAACAAGTGATTAAGTTTTATGAAGCTGGATTGAATAAGTAAAATGTCAACAATTAGACGTTTTCCACATCATTTGTTTTTTTTTTAAACAATTTAATATAGTTTATAGATTTTATCTTTATCATTTGTATAAAATGAAGAGAGAAAAAAACCACAAGTTACAAATTTACATTAATATAATGGAGACAAAACAAATTCGTTTAGGTTTAAGTGCACACAAACACATCATATTAACCTTTTTTTTTTTCTTGAACTCTAAGTTCCTCGATTTGACACGCAATATCATCATTCGCCATTTGAATTGAATTTTCACACGACATCATACCACGAACCATTTTCGCCATTGCAACGGCGAACGGGTGGCAATTCACTTCATTCTGAAGAGGCAAACACTCATTTGATTTAACAACATTTAACGATTACAACAACAACAACATATGCATATACAAATACTAGTCCGCAAACTACAAAAAAAAATGCTATATTGAATTAACGATTTCATCCGCACATTAATCAAATCATGAACTTTTAAAAAGTTACAACAAATAAATTCTATCAAAGTCAGCAATAAAAACCTACAGCCACTTTTGTTTTTTTTTATTGGAATTATTCTTATTTCAGCAATATCTGGAATCTGATTTATGGACAGATTTGGGGAATATTTGAACTCTGAATTATGGACAAATTTAGGGTATTAATAAATAGGAACAATTTTAGGTGCACGTTTAAAAAGGTAAATCGTCTTTTGGGTAAACCAAATTTTTTTGACCTAAACAGGTTTGGAATATTTCGAAATAAATTTTGAAAAATTTCCTTCAAAATTATTATTTTTTCGGATGGAATGTCAATTTGTGTTCGAACCACGGAAAATTTCTTGGAATTTTCCCGGAATTTTTTGAATTTTTTTTCTTGAAAATGAAAAAAATTCTTGACAAAAAAATTACTCTCAGAAAAGAAATTTTTTTTCTCCAAAAATGTCGATTGCCAAATTTTGTTTTTTCCGTTGTTTACGCTCATTTTTTTTCAGTTGTTTACCGTACAAAATTGTCGAAAGCAATGGCATTTATCAGTTGATAAAGCGACTGAATGTCTCTCGATAAATTATATTGTCATTCGTCTGCGTTGTACAATGTACACACGTTTTACATTCGGCGCGCGCGAAAATAAAAACGTCGAAAAACACCTAGATATGTGTTGATGAGAGTGTAAATTGTTTGGCAAAATTGTAAGCACAATAAACCGAATTCATCGAATTCGTCTATCGTACGTGTGTTTAGATTTTGTTTACCGCTTTCGTTGTCTCTTTTGTGCTGATCTTCTTCTCTATTTACAATTTGTGTATGATACATATACTGATCTAATGTGCTCCCACATGGTTCTTCTTTTTTTTTTTGCACGAGTTCACACGAAATGTGTGTATATATAACGCTATCATTTTAGATTGTTATATGACTATTCAGCGTATTTCTGTGTTTTTGTCGCTTTTAGCGAGTCTAAGCAATTTAAATGGCACAACACGTATAAAATCGGCTCAAGTTTTTGTTTACGAAGAAGTAAACGAAGATTTTTTTGTGTGAAATGGTAAATGTAAACATATGCGACGAATAAATTATTACAATGGGCTCATGTGGACTTCAAAGAATTTATCTTTTCAACGAAATAAATTCATCACGTAAAATTTATTTTTTGCGAACAATTGCGGTCAAATTTTGACCCAATTTAGAATTTGCAATGTGATATTTTGGGTATTTAATCGCAATTAGATCACTAACCGTAATTACAAAAATTAATTGTTTACATCGTCAACGATTCAGCTTACAATACTGCTTGACACAATAAATTGCATCGAAATGCAAAAAAATTGCGTAGAATTTTTCTACGCAGCATGGACTTCAGTACGTATCAGGTAAAAAAAAACTGTGGGCTGCAGCTCAAAATGCTGGTTTGAATGGAAAATGGAAAATTTCTTGCTGATTCGAATGAAAAATGCACTCTATCCATTTCTTTGATTTGAAGTTCATCCGAGAGGTCAATCAATTTTTGTTCCAGAATTATTTTCAATGCGGCTTGCGAAGGGAATGAGTTCAACTAGCAGGAAGGTCTTTCTGTAAAAGTCTAATAAATTCAATGACACAGACTGTGTCCAATGTTTGTTATCTAATAAATCAGCCGTGTCTTATTCAAAGACCTATTCAATCGATGTAGTCAGAATGTATACGTGCACTCAAACTGAACTCAGCTTCTTATATACCAAACCATTACTTCATCGAGAATAAAAGAAGGAAGATGAAAAATTGAAAAAATTGTTACAGAAAAATGCATCAATGGAAAAATTGCTTACATTTTGTGTAGCAAGATTTGGTGGTGGTGGTTTCTTTTCGTACAAAGCGGAAAAAACGTCTTCAAAGGGTATCTTCGATTCGGGTAGTAGAGTAAACAGTGGAGAATCCCATCGATTATTTGCTATCGGTTCTTCATATCGAAGTGTGAGTGCATCAAAGATTTCTCGTGTGTATGGAATTGACGAATTGTCGCTTTCGCTGGACTCAACCACATCAGCGCCACTTCTTTTCTGATTAAGATTCCATGCTGTTTCTTTCGGGATAGCACAAAACACAGTGCACTGTGTAGATCGAGCGGCTTTGCTGGCGCAATACAGTTCATACCGATAGCCTGAAGAAAAAAGTTCATTAATTCATTAATTTTTTGAATGGGACTATTCATAAATCGATTCAAAAAGAAATTCGTCACCTTTAATATAATTGGCAGCATCTAAAATCACAACATTATCCTTAGTCAACAATCGCACCGTTTCCGATTTGAGATCGGATCGAACGATTTTCTCCTTTTGTGAATCGGCAAAATACACATTCTTTGCAAAGCCAGCCTTTGGTATTGACAAATTTTCACTAACAATATGCACCATTTTGCCACGCTCCCGAAAAAAATCCGCCAACTCTTTGCTTCGTTTCGTTTTGCCGCTAGACGGAAATCCAGTTAAAATTATCAACGGCATTTTAAAATAATTTATTTAGTTAAATTTTCAAGTAGTTCTAAAGTTAAACAAAACGTGTGCACAAATGACAAATGTAACAACTGTCAAAACGGGTTTGTCAATTGAAATGTCATACTTTACGTAAACGAAACTTGTTTGTCTAAACTAAAAGTGTCTACTGTTTGAATGAGACGCAGTGTGTGATGTGTTTTATTTCATCGGTTCTGTATTTAACTTGAAGAAGAGCTGGATGTGGATGAAGATGGGGATGAGCACGTGGACTCTTCATAACAACAAAATGGAAAGCATTTATCTGTGTATAATTTATAAGTTCCAGGTGGAATTTCACAATTGTCGTAATGGTTCAAATTTATGCCGGGGTAATCAGTGGCGTAGCATTTTGTGCCGGCACTCATTGCTGCGCACAACATTCCAGCGAAAAAATGATTGTACAGCGGATCGGTCAATGTGAGTCCAGGCTGATTGTAGATGGGTGGATTGCAGAGGATGTTGACTTGAGCCAAATTCATGTTTCCCGTTCCCAATTCACGCGGATTGGTGTTGATTGAGATGGTTCTTTTGGCCAATTCTTTGCCCATACCACATTCGAACAACCCAACTTGCCATAAACACTCATTGTCTTGGATTAACGGACCAGCCGCATCATAAGCTGAAAAAAAGTTTGCACATATAGTAATTATTACTTTTGAATGATTTTCGAAATGATCTGCCATCATTGGATCAAATCAGGATTTTATAGAACTAATCAATGTGTACACTGTACAAATTTTTTGACATTTTACTGAAGCAATGGGCTTGATTCGAGTTATACAACCAAGGAGATTGACAATATTTTGGATCGAAGTGAAAAATAATTCCTATCACATATCGTGATTAAGTTCATCATTGATTCATACATGATAGCCTAGACAAAATCTAAATCAGATTTCACAAACATTTTACACGGATTTCGACAGAATATCTAACCTCTTTTTTTATAGTCAATATCGAACAGTCTTTTACATTTACATACTGATTACCATTGAGAGTGTGTCAAAAAAATTTTTTTCCAAATTTTCCAATAAAATTTACCTGCCATTTCTTTGACACGACCACCCATTCGAATGACATGTCTGCATGCGAATCCACCGATATGCGCGCCAAGACTATGTCCCGATAAACTAACTATGGATGGATCCCCGAGTTTCATTATAACCCTTCCAATTAACTCGCCCAATGGCTTAAGCATAAATCCAGCCAGGCAAGCGTAATCATTTCCGCTAATTTTGCCCCAGTAAACAATAATCACAATGCAATCGGTACGACAATTTAAACTCTCTGCTGAGTACGTTAGCCAATCTGTAAGATTTGTGAAATGGATCAAAGGTGATCGATTGTTTATAATAAAAATTCATCTTTTTAATTGTAATTTGAACAATTTCAATTTGTATATATTTACTATACTCTTTAGGCACATCATTGGGATCGATTGTACAATCTGTTGCCCATCCTCCAATTAAAAATCGAATGCACCGTGCTGACCTCCGTACATATTTATGTGGATTCTTTAACATTTTGCTTGCAACCACCACACGGGCAAGTTTTTTCCTTCAAGAAATTAAATTCTTTAAAATGATCAGATTTTGAAATTGAATAAATTTTCACCTTACTTTTGATAGACAATGAAATAAACTTGTGAGGGTAATTCGTTTTCTTTCGGAAGGAAATTACATATTAACTGACCGATTAAAACGCGTAGACCGAATTGAGCGGTATCCCAATTTAAATTAATTAACTGTGGAAATGGTATGCAGTTGATTGAATCCCGTCTGGAGTGACATTGCTTAAAATTTCTGGGAAGTAATCTTGCTCCACATCCTCTTATTGGATAATGTGCTGTGGAAAATTTAAAATTGAGTTTATTCAACGTATTGTCTATGTCGGAGTGAAGAAATGGAACGAATTTTCAACGAAGATTTCAACAGTTTATGAATTCCATCTATAAATGACATCTCTTGACGTCAGGAACAATGAAAACGTCTTGCGTACTTAGTACGTAAGTTAAACTATTTTTAGAATTAACAACTTTACGTTTTATTAATGATAGCAATGTTTAGCAGAGATTCATACACAGACACTAAGAACATATTTTCTTATGGACGAAATTTTCTTTCTTTAAACTTCAATAAATTTATTTATGAGTTATTAGAAAGTTGTGAGCTATCAACAATGACTTGATACTCATAAACCAAATGAATCTACTTAACTTTAATTTTCTTAACAAAAAAAAATCGAAAATATGAATAAAATTCCAACCAAGTGTGAGATCAACAAAAATGATCAAAATCACAATCAACTTCATTTTTGAACTGCACTCCATTGAAGCTATTCTGCGACTGATTTTTTTAAAGAATCGAAACCATTTTTGTCCAAGAGAGTTTTCGACGGAACGTGTAATTTATTCAGTGCAATACTGAGTGCGATCACATCAAAGCAAATACAGTTGTTCATTGTTTTGATGTCAAGAATTTCGTAATTATGGGTCGGTTGCAATATTTCAAAAAGGCCAAATAAAACTTGTATGAATCGCTTTTGGAAGGTGATTCAGCCTAATTCAATTTATTATTATTAATTATAATGGCCCACCAAGAGTGAGTTTCTTAGGAAATGTAGCATCTTCATCTCGTTCATCGATACTGATATTGACGGTATCCGAATGGAATGCAGAAAAAAAAATGCAGAAACCCAAAAACGCAGAAAAAAATTTTGCAGAAAAAAAAATTGCAGAAAGAAAAAATGCAGAAAAACAAAATGCAGAAATCCAAAAACGCAGAAAGAAAAAATGCAGAAAAAAAATTTGCAGAAAAGAAAAAAATGCAGAAAACCAAAAACGCAGAAAAATTGAAAAAATACGATTTTTTCGAAAATTTGTTGACCACAATAGATTTCACAGTCCGACGCGTGTTTTTTTAATCTGGCACATCAGCCGAATAAGTGCCAGGCAATAGTTTAGGCCGCACGGAGTTCATAATGGGCCATGGTTTTGGGTAAAGGTGCTTCTGCCAGGAATTAATGACCTTGGGCGTTCCCACATTTCAGGAAGAACGAATTTCTTGACGAAACTTAGTTTTTACACCAGTACTCCGGTAATTATTGGTTTTTTACCTATCCATTCAAGAAGTTATTTGTTCAGACGATCACGCAGAAGCGATTCTGTACTCTCAAAGCTACAATATGTTTTAGAAAATGGGTTGAAATGGGTAAATTTCGTGAAAAATGAGGAAAAATGGTCAAAATTAGTTGCTGTAGTATTAACCCCATACTTCGTTTTGGTGAGTTGGTGGATCAGTGGAAAAAAAAAATTTTCCAAATTTTTTTTGTCAGTGGTGTTAGAAAAGTGGTCGGAAACGGTCTCTAACGACGTTTTTGTCTTGGACAACTAGGGTTTTGTATGCCAAAAATGTGATTTTGTATCAATCTTTCAATTGATCGATAGTTTTATGAAGAAATGTCGATTTGAGACCAAAGAACCTGAAACCTTTTCGTGCTTTTTGACAGATGTACTAAATTGAATGTTTTCAATGTCGCCATCTGTTGTTGGTGATACAAATATCTTATCATATGGTTCTGATGAAGATTTTATTTATTGTTTATACAATTTTATTCAAAATCACTTTTTCATTCATAAACTCAATTCAGAAAAGAAATCAGAGTTATTTCAACAGTCGAGTTATTTTGCATGCAAAATGCCTAAAACATAAGAGTGAGAAAATTGTCATCATCAAGTTTACACGGCATGACCAATTTCAAGTAATGCAACTTTGTTTTGAAAACACTAGTAAAAAATAATAAATGGCAAATCATTCTTTTGTCTCTTTGTGGACATTAATTCCCACATTTTCGATAGAAAGTGAATTTTTTCACACAACTCATAATTTCACAATCACGTGTTTAGTACATTTCATTGTTCAATACCGATATTGAACACACCCTAACATCAGCAATGGTATCTGTCAAACTTTACGCTCTGAAAATGACATTCATAGCAAACATTTAAAAACAGTCAATATTTTATTTTTTTAATTTTTATTTGGGAAAACTAACATAACATTCACTTTCGAAATCATACCAAATATTTGAGTTCATTTTTACGGATCTAACGAAATATTTGAAAATTGTCGTGCCGAGGTGGTGCTGTTACTATACAATTCGGTTGTATCGTTTCGGCACGACCATTTTCAAATACTTGAATTCATTTTTACGGATCTAACGAAATATTTGAAAATTGTCGTGCCGAGGTGGTGCTGTTACTATACAATTCGGTTGCATCGTTTCGGCACGACCATTTTCAAATACTTGAGTTCATTTTTACGGATCTAACGAAATATTTGAAAATTGTCGTGCCGAGGTGGTGCTGTTACTATACAATTCGGTTGTATCGTTTCGGCACGATCATTTTCAAATATTTCGTTAGATCCGTAAAAATGAACTCAAGTATTTGGTATGATTTCGAAAGTGAATGTTATGTTAGTTTTCCCAAATGAAAATTAAAAAAATAAAATATTGACTGTTTTTAAATGTTTGCTATGAATGTCATTTTCAGAGCGTAAAGTTTGACAGATACCATTGCTGATGTTAGGGTGTGTTCAATATCGGTATTGAACAATGAAATGTACTAAACACGTGATTGTGAAATTATGAGTTGTGTGAAAAAATTCACTTTCTATCGAAAATGTGGGAATTAATGTCCACAAAGAGACAAAAGAATGATTTGCCATTTATTATTTTTTACTAGTGTTTTCAAAACAAAGTTGCATTACTTGAAATTGGTCGTACCATGTAAACTCGATGATGACAATTTTCTCACTCTTATGTTTTAGGCATTTTGCATACAAAATAACTCGACTGTTGAAATAACTCTGATTTCTTTTCTGAATTGAGTTTATGAATGAAAAAGTGATTTTGAATAAAATTGTATAAACAATAAATAAAATCTTCATCAGAACCATGTGATAAGATATTTGTATCACCAACAACAGATGGCGACATTGAAAACATTCAATTTAGTACATCTGTCAAAAAGCACGATTCTTCGCTACAATAGGAATGATGCTCTTTGTAGGAAAACCAGTGTTCAAGTGTTCAGGGACCCATTTTTTTCGTTTTCACCAAAACGAAGTATGAGGTTAATATCGGCTCGCCAGCAACTAAAATCTGACATTCAAGTGTTGAACCGTACATTTCAAAACTTATAAATGTTACTACAGCAACTAATTTTGACCATTTTTCCTCATTTTCCACGAAATTTACCCATTTCAACCCATTTTCTCAAACATATTGTAGCTTTGAGAGTACAGAATCGCTTCTGCGTGATCGTCTGAACAAATAACTTCTTGAATAGATAGGTAAAAACCAATAATTACCGGAGTACTGGTGTAAAAACTAAGTTTCGTCAAGAAATTAGTTCTTCCTGAAATGTGGGAACGCCTAAGGTCATCAATTCCCGGCAGAAGCACCTTTACCCAAAACCATGGCCCATTATGAACTCCGGGCGGCCTAAACTATTGCCTGGCACTTATTCGGCTGATATGCCAGATTAAAAAAACTCGCGTCGAAATGTGAAATCTATTGTGGTCAACAAATTTTCGAAAAAATCGTATTTTTTCAATTTTTCTGCGTTTTTGGTTTTCTGCATGTTTTTCTTTTCTGCAAATTTTTTTTCTGCATTTTTTCTTTCTGCGTTTTTGGGTTTCTGCATTTTGTTTTTCTGCATTTTTTCTTTCTGCAATTTTTTTTTCTGCAAATTTTTTTTCTGCGTTTTTGGGTTTCTGCATTCGATACCGGATTCGATATTGACCGTACCTATTAATCAAGATATGATTGCAATTGATATCGAAATTGTAACCCATAATAAACGAACTTCATAGCAGCTGAATGGTGCTTAAAAAGCTCATAATCTCCAGTTCAACGATTCTATGCCTAATCACTTGAACCAATTCAAAACGAAAACAGTTACAAGTAGCCCACATTTGGTATGCGGTGTTTTTTCACCGATTTAATTTATTTCAATGAATGATGCAAATAAAAGTAAATAACATGTGTTTCCGTATTTTCGTATAATGGAGATGCTTTATTAAAGAATGCGATATGTTATCAAAAACCAGATTTGATTGTTTAAATTAACGTAACAAAGTAAATATTTTGAATTTTTTCGCAAAAATGGAATCATATTTTATTTACACATCAGTTTCGATGTGTTTGCAGATTCGATGTGTTTGCAGATTTATCCTTTTACGCACTATTTTTTTCAAACAGCTTATGAATGGCTTAGAATAAATTACACATCATGTCGAAATTTGAAAGCGCCCAAATCCGTCGCATGAAAGAAAACCAAGTTGATATACTAGAACGTGAATACACGATACGTAATACCACCCTTCATCCAAAGTTCCCTTCGTTCGAAACCCTTTAAGTTTGAATCATACCGTAATTGAAACTGCATTTACGGGTTAGAATCTCTTTTTTGTGAGTAAATGAATTCAAGTTCCACTTTTGTCAACACTTCGATCATGTCTGTAAACTATTCTCATCGGTTCAATTTATTCCCTCAAGTTGGAATTCGGTTTTCATTTTATTTAAAAAAAAAAAGAGTAAATACGTGCTACGTACAGCACAACAATATTATGTCAGCACACCATATTTCATCTAACTAGCCAAATCAGCTCTTCTCACTTGCCTCGTTGTGATAAATTATATCGTAAGCAAATTCAAACAATTAGTTTCCGTCCGCAGTGGGGAGAAAAGATTTTTTTTATTCGCCATGATATCAAAATTTGGCTTTATAAGGAACCGATTCCATCCTACAATCATCATTCCGTCTCTCGACTTGTGAGAGATTGACGAGTGTTGTTCAGTAAAACTATTCAGTTTTAGGAAATAAAGATAAAGATAAAGGTGCAAAAAAACAAATTTATCAAATTTAGAAAGGCACGTGTCCAATAAATACAACGCATTTAAAACAGATTATAGTTTAGAGGAATTATATTTGAAATTACGTAGATTTTTGTTTTGCCAAACACTTTATTTGCTTAATTTTTCTATCGAAATTGTTCATATAAAAAGTGCAATTAGAATTTTTTATTCAACAAATTTTTTATTTGTTTTTTTTTTCGATTCTTCCACAGATTTTACATCGAAAAAGATTTTGTATTTAAAAAAAAAATCCAAAAATGAGTTCGTGTACAGGAGCACAATGTACGACCAACAGTCTTGGTTCTGCCGATTCAATGTTTGCTTCATTAGTCAGCACAATATTAGCGGCCCAGTGTGCTCTTTATTCAGCAGATAAATTTCCAGAAAACTATGCAAATTCCTCGACGTTTTCTGCCGGTTGGTTATAGATAAAGATTTGTATTCTTCAAAAACGTTTACATAATCAACTCTTCCTTTCTATCGAACTATAGATAATCTGCAATTCGATTTCATCGTTGTTGGGTCTGGTGCTGGTGGTTCTGTGGTTGCTAGTAGACTGAGTGAAAATCCTGATCACAAAGTACTGCTGATTGAGGCTGGCGGCGATCCACCGTTTGAATCAGAGGTAATAACCATCAGTTTTTTTTTCGGTTCCATTAGCGCTTAATAGCAATTGAATGCTCCACCGATGTTTGATTGTTTCTATTTATTTTTCATTCAATCAATTTTTCCCAATCAATTTCCCATTCAAACCAATAGGCACCTGGTCTCTACGGTTCGCTGGTACATAGCCCTGTGGATTATCTTTATTCATCGTATGCAACTCGTGGTTGCTTAAGTAACGGAGGATTGTGTCAGATATCGGTAGGACTATAAATAATGAGTTTTTTTCTTCAAAATTTCCTCAAAATAAACTTTTCCTTTCTAAAATAGCGTGGAAAAATGTTGGGCGGAACAACAAGTTTGAATGGGTTATACTATTCCCGTGGTAACCGCGACAACTACGACACATGGGCTGCCAACGGTTGTGATGGTTGGGATTATGATAGTGTTTTGCCATATTTCAAGAAATCGGAACATAATTTGTGGAAACCATTTTTGGAAGGTGACTCAGCCCAATATCACAACGGCTCGGGTCCAATGAAAGTGAGCTTCTTGGGAAATGTAACATCAGCAACTCAGCTGTTCATTGATGCTGCTGTCGAAAAAAATGTGAACGTCAATCTAGATCCAAATGGTGCGACTCAGACAGGAATTGCTTCGTTTCAATTCATGGGAGCCAATGGTCGACGTGAGAGCACAGTCACAGCCTTCATAAATCCAGTACAAAATCGAACAAATTTGTTTGTCTTGAAAAATTCGTATGTTACAAAGGTTCTGATCGACGGTACAAATACCGCCACTGGAGTTGAATTCGATTTCGATGGAGATTCGTATACAGCATATGCATCGAAAGAGGTGATTTTATCGGCTGGTGTAATCGAAGTACGTAAAATATGAATATTTTGTTCTTTTTTATCATAAAAAAAATGTACATAGATCCTCGTATTGCTTCAATACTTCATTTACTCATTTCTTTCTATCTTCTCTCTCAGAGCCCTAAATTGCTCATGTTATCAGGAGTTGGGCCGGCTGATCAATTAGAAGCACTCGATATTACAGTAAAAAAAGATTTGCCAGTCGGTGAAAATCTACAAGATCACGTCACCGTTTTGATTTTTGCTCAAGCCGATGGTGTTGTCGAAACATCACCCACAGATTCTCTCGATTATACGTATCAATGGGCTATTCATAACAGCGGGCCATATGCAGAACCACTCGCATTAGCTTCATTTTTGAACACAGACCCAACGGCTGCATATCCAAATCATGAAAACATTTACTTTACTTTCGCTAAAGATACCACCGATTTGGCAGCTCTTCTCCAAGTGTTAAGCTTGAATGCAACCGCTTTCAAAGCAGTTTTAGATGCAAATGTTGAACACGATATTCTCGGTACATTCATCTACTATTCACAACCCAAATCACGTGGAACACTTAAATTAAACGGAACCAATCCATACAATTATCCAATCATCGATCCAAATTACTTTGCCAATGAAACGGACTTGATTAATTTTGTGAAAGCAACCAAAGAACAAAATTCTTATTCGGAAACTCAAGCTTTTCAAAAGTATAATGCTACACCAGTTCGAATTCCATTGGAAGCCTGTGATAGTGACTACACATACGATACAGATGATTACTGGAAATGCTATCTCCATCAGTTGACATCAGCTGGTATGCATCACGTGGGCACATGTAGAATGGGAGCAGAAAACGATCCAACAGCTGTAGTTGATACGGAACTTCGTGTCAAGGGTATCAACCATCTCAGAGTCGTTGATTCCAGCGTGTAAGTAACTAAATCATTTGTAAGTTGAGATATTTCTGTCTCGCTTTCATTTCAATTCGAATGGAGTTTGAATCGTTGTTTGATTTCTTTTTTTCTTCTAGTATTCCATACATTACGACGGGACACATAACTGCACCAACGGTTATGATTGCCGAAAAAGCGGCTGATCTTATCAAAGAAACATGGGCTAATTCTACGGGGTAGACACGATTTTAATATTGATCCTATTTTCTAATTTAATTTCTCTAACTAAGAATCGAAAAGTCGAATAAAAGTACTAATATCTTGTAATGTTTACGTAAAATGTTCGCGATTTAGTTCTACATTGCCCATACATTCGTTATGGAGATTTTAGTTTTGTTAATTTTTTTGTTGTTTGTATTGACAAACAATAGAAATAAGGCAATACAAAAATCTCCATAAAGAATGTATGGGCAATGCATTTGCCATGTAAAGAAAACGTTTTAGTTGTTAATATTCTCTAATTAGATTATAGTTTACTAATCGTGTCTTCCCCCTAGGACTAAGCCACCGCCGAAGAAGAATAATTTGGTGTCATCTTTGCTGGAAAAAGGAGAAGCTGTAATTAGTCAATTAATTAACAGAACAATAAAAATATTACCTTAATTTGTTATGTTGAAATACTTTTTTTTTGCAATTTTACACAATAAATTCGTACTCAATTCGTGTCCAATAAATTGGATAATATATTATGAGCGATAATAAATGAATGAATGGTTCAGAACGTAATTTATTTGGAAATGATTCAGATGCTATTTATTCAATCTCATTTTGTTCAAAATCTATCAAAATCAAAACTATTTTAGATTGATCAATTACATGGAGTTAGTAGATAGTTGGATACATACATCCATTTTGAAAAACAACCCAAATGGTATTTTATTACCGAAAAATATGTTCAACGCTGGAAAATAATTGATATTCAACTGTATGTAAAAAATCATTTCAGTTGAACAAAGCAAATGCAATGAGTATAATGATGATTTAAACGGAGTCCTCCGTTAATACATAGGCACAGCTGTGAATGCCCCCATTTTCATCGATTTTATCAACGTATTCTTTTTTATCCAGGAATCCGGTACGGTTAATCCACATTGTAATCCAGTTCAAGTGGGCAAAGATGTTGAAGTACACATTGCCGCTAGAATACACTTCCAAAAAGAGCTCAAAACTACCGACTCCATGCAATTCTTCGGGCTCCGTCTTGGAAATTAATGGTGCAAGCAAAAAAAAATTACAAAATTTCTTTGAAAATTTAATTTATAAATTCAAAAGTTGATCAATAACCCAATAGTTTCTCACCCATGTCCGATATGCAAGGGAAAACATCTGCTGACGATTTGTTTATTCTTAAAACGGGAAATTGTCCTGGCGGCCAAGAAATCCAATGTCGTGCCATCGCATCTCCATATTTTAGCCTCGGTTTTTTCTGCAAAACACGGGAACAATTTTACAATTATTAAAAATTTTCATGTTAATTAATGGAACAATCTCTGTGTTCATTGCAAAAAAAATGTGTTCAACAAAGAGTAATCGGATGTATGTTTGTGCTTACTTTAGGTTCATCCTTGAAACCAACATCAAGCTCTCCGCCCCAACCAGAAATAGTCACAATTTCATAATCTTCCGCACTACGACTCGGCAATGCAAGTATCTGGACATTTGGTGATGACAATGGAATTTTCATGGTATGAATAAATCCCGAATCGGTTACATTCAATATGGAGTCAAACTTTGACTTTACCATATCCATTTTGACATAAGATTCATGCCAAGTGGCACCTATGGTCATGACTTGAGTGTCACCCGAATCAATTTGGTATCGTCCAACGTACACTTTGCAATGCGGCGGATATTGACACGATGACGCACAATCGGGCTGATGATTATTTTCAATACTTTTTTTGAAATAGATTTTGTGATTCACTTGTCAACCGTTCAATGCACAGTTCAGGATGTGACTGGAAATTTCATCTTTGAAAATGAACAATTGACACGACGGCAATACATAGTCTCTCGTTTGCTTGCTATGTTTTGATGTCAAGTTGAGCAAAGTGCATGAGAGGATTGAAATTTATTTATTTTATTTTATTTATTTCAATAAACACCGCCAAGCTCTGGCTGAATATAATGTGGGTTTTTGATTAAGGTTTGGCCGGAAAAGAGTGCAAGACTGTTACATATTTAAAATAATAAACATTTAGTAGCGATAATTTTTCATAACTATCAGTTCTCGCCTCGTTAAAAACCTGGCTCTTTTCATACATCATGCGGTATTCACAATAGTAGGAACATGAAAACGAAAAAACAGTCATACAACCAAGGTGGAAATGCTTGATATTAGTCTATGGCAAACGGTCCATGATAACCTTTGGTAAACGTTTCCAAAGGAACAAAGGCTATGTGAAGCGTTTAATTACACGTTTAATTTGAGACCCTAGGACAGCAAAAGTCGTCGCTCAATTTATACCGGTGGATAAATTGACGAGAAGTTTTACGTCTTAAAGGCAGATCCATGTTGATTGCAGAGTGCATTGAGTTGACATGGACTATGATTTGAAGCGTAACTAGAGCATTTGATGCTAATTATGAATAATTCAAAATTGATTTCAGACATAAGAATATTAAGTTGCCAACTCATGGATGGCTACAACAAAGCACAAAATCAAAATTTACAATAAATAATAAGTGTAAACATCACAGATAAGTATCATCATTTCTATACACATAAGAGAATGTATGGGGAACAATTCGTCAGTCTTTTAGTATCGATTTTGCTGTGTGATTCGTGTGCGATGAGTCGAATACCATGTAGTTGGTTGGTACCTGGGGCAGCCCCACTCTTGTTTGTTTCAATCAGCAGCAAATCAAAACAACCATCGAATAAGTTGTGAAAAGGATGACAATGTGAACTTGGCATGACAGTTAAAATATGCTTGGATACTTGGATCAGTTTGCACAAACGTACTCCATCAACAGAAAGTCAAAACTCCGATTTAGCATTTTATTTATAAAAAAAACACAAGTTGGAAGTAAATTGGACTATTTTATTCTTCTTTGAATCTGTGAAAATAACACGTTAGTTTCTAATTTATTAATCTGTAAATGACAATCTTTTCAATTGAGAAAAACAAAAGTAATAAACATGTAGACCAAATGTTAATGGTGTTTTATGGTACCCTACTTGGTGAATATTCATCATTTTCTAAATTTTTCATATAAAAACTCTACACTGTTAGCCCGCATGTGGGCCTGGATCCAGGCTAAATTTTCAAAGACAGGAAAGTATATTAGTAGGTTGTCTTCAGCATCAAATTTATCGTAAATGAACAACGTGTAGCTACCGACGCCAATAAGTTGTTCTGAATCAGCTCTAACCATTGGTGCGCCTGCAAAAAGTAATATCCCCTTTATGTATGTGTTATGAGGAGAGATTACGTGTCACCATAAATTGAACCTATAGATCTTACCCATATCACTTATGCTACCGATGACATGGGATTTAAAGCCAATTTGTACCTTGGTTGAATGAACAATATGGTACAATGATGGCCCCCATTGACCAAAGTAACAATTGGCTTTTCCGTACTGTAAAATTTCATGTTGCTATATGAATGATGCAAACGAATGACAACAAATAGTGAATATATGTTTTGTGTCAATACTAATTCGATGAGATTATGACTTACTTTGGGTTCATCTAGAAACGCTGCGTCTGGTTCGGCTCCCCAACCAGAAATTACAGTCACATGGACGTCAATAATGATATGACAAATATCGGAATCGTTCACATTCATTGCAATGATCTGGACGGTATCTGACATTTCAATTTGTTCAGTATGAATAATTCCTAAATCAAGTATATTAAAACGCGTATCATTTGCAGGGTCCATCATGTCCATCTCCCAGTAAGTGTGGTGCCAGGTGGTGCTGTTAATTTTAACTTCAGTACCATCAGCACTAACGTTGACACGTCCAACGTATAATTTACAATTGGGCGGAGATTGGCATGCAGTAGCACAGACTGCATTTGTTAATACATCGTATTCCGAGATAATGGCCCCAGCACAAATGGGCATGAAGCGTCCAGTATGCGGATGAAGTACTTTTATCAGAGCGATATACAGAATATCGCCTTCTTTCGCCTCAAAGATTGTTCCGTTCATGTAACTAACTATAGCTTGCGTTTGCCGTTTGAAATTCGTCAAAATCAATACGATTGAGACCACCAAAAATATCAACTTCATTTTGATTCGTCGAGTTAAACGGTTTTATTCAGTACTTTTTTCGACAATAGTCTTACGAAATCCAACGTTTGAATTTCCTACCAAATTTATAGCGACTGTAATGAGAAACGTTTGAATTTATCGGATTGGATTGAAATATTTTCAATTTACAGATATCTACTCAATTAGTTTTTATATTATCATAGTTATACTTGGTGTCTGTTCACTTCAGAGTTCAGACTGCGAATGGAAATGCCGGTTCCCATTACTAAAATGGGAAAATGTCACGAAGAAAATATTCTTTTCTCTTCTATGCTTACTTTGTTTTAATTTCGGGTTGAGACAAAGACTTAAATGGATTGACACTGAAGCATCGATTGAGTAAGCCGTGAGTTACGATTGTCTACTATATGAAAATGCACTTGGTTTCTTGGATTGGTAACAAGGTTTTCGTCGCTTTTCGGAACAGTATTTTGGCATTTAACCGAATCAACCAATGTACTCGTCAGAATTGTGGCTGTTATTTTATCCAAATTAGTAATGGTTCTGAATGGCACACATTCTTTGTCTTTCTTCGGATTCGATCAAATGATGCTGATTTGACTTTGGCGTTGTTGTACCTGAAAAAAAAAAATCAATATTTCAACAAAAAAGTTCTGTTCAGTATTATTGAGATGTAAATTGAATAACTTTATAGAATTAAATTGTAATTTGGTTTAATTAATCGTAATTTTATGTCAATAATGAAACACTTGTTTGATAACCACATGTAGTTGTACACCATTGCGATGTTCAACAGATAAATACTCGAGTGTGATTAAAAAATAATCCAATAATAACAAACCCGGGCCAAGTTCAAGAGTAAATGCCAGAATTGTAAGCAAAATAATCGACAGCTTCATTTTCAAGAGCAAAACTCCAAAGTACGTTAGCTTTCAAACTCAAATAGACGTAGACACTTAGTATGTACGTAGTCAATGGGGTGTGCTGTTGTTTACAATAATAAAATACCGGCACAGACATTCAAAGATGAAACGAACGCATCAATACAAAGTAATGACATATTTCACAATTTGAAATAAAGTTTCAATCAACACACCCTATCAACTCAACATCAAAAATAGAACGATCGATTGAAACTGCAATTCTTCTAGCTTCTTATTAAAATTTGGTACGTCATTTCCGTAAGACAGCATTAGGTTCAATAAGTTTATTGAAAAATTGTTGAATAGCGAATTGAATAGTTGCGAATCTTTAAAATTTTTACATCGAATAATCTTCGACGAAGATTAAACTATCGTTGATTAATGACGAACGAAACTTATTTATTATTGAAACTCCATGTTGATGATTCAAAAGTAAATTTCATGGTATAGTTGAAAAGTAGTTCATTTCAAAATTTCAATGGTAAAAAATATAGCAAACTGGGTGAGCACTCTCGTACAGTTTTTTATATTTTTCTTTACCGTGGAAAATCTTATGCATATAAGTTCAAAAACACAAAACATCGTTTTTAGTTTGGAATTAAGTTTAGTAAGGAATGTATGGACAACCGCCTGGCTTGCACATGCAATACGGATAGCATTGACACACATTGAACGTATAAATTCCTGGGGCGACTGAACAGAAGAAATAGTTGAAATTGGCTCCAGTTATCGAATCTAAACATTTTGATTGCGCGGTCATTCCAGCGCTCACAGCGGCGCATGATGCGTGATTTCCAAATTCATTTCCAGGGAGTATCCATGGTTGTTGTCCGCCTCCATTGAGGAAAATATGAGCTTTGGCGATAGTTGTATTTCCCGTTCCCAAGCAGCATAAATTGCAATGAAGACATACCGTATTGTAAGCAATGTCTGCGCCCAATCCACTTTCGAAAAATTCAAATATTTTAAATAACCCACACATTTGACCTATCATGAATGGACCAGCCGGGTCGGCAACTGATAATTTGGATGAAACATATTTATATGATAAAAATGGGTGTAGAGAAAAAAAATACTGAAAACTGTAATTGTTTGTTACCCGCAACTAAAGACAGCATTTTATTCTTCGCTTTCAAATACCTAGCAATCCAACCAGCAATCTCGGCTACGGATATCATTATAGAAATACATACATGTGTATTCAAAAAAAGGGTTTGAAATTGCATATTTTATTATCATATCAGCACTGAGGTGCTTTCGTCACTCGCGCTTGTTGTCCTCAACCGTGATCATTTCTATGAATTCTAAACTTACCTCCAAGTGAAATTCCCCAAACATTAAAGTTGGACACATCACAATTTGATGCATCAATTGCTTCTGCTATCAAATAGGCCAATCGTTTAACAAGAAAGGCTAGCAGACAAACGTAATTATCACAAACAAATTTTCCTGGCGTGAATATTTTTTTTTTTATAAAATAAGAATGAAAATGAATTATTACAATGAACAACGGACACTATGAGCTAACAAGGAACCATCAACTATGGCCACAGGTAGTGAACGATCACTTTGTTCCTACTCACCATAATTTAAAATGAACACATTGCACTTTCCAAGTTTATTCAAATTCCAAGCCATGTCTGTCTGAAAACCTGGGATACATGCCATTTTTTTTGTTCAACTCACTTTATCCATTTGCAATAAATATCTTACTGTAGTCATTTAGAACACTATTGACAGACTTATTACAATTTGTCATCCAACCGGGTATAATGAGCCACGTACATGGAGCAGACGTATCTATGTAACCACTTGGATTTTTTGCAAGTGTTGTACCATTCACAGCTTTCGGATTTTGGTCCCTTTGGTTAAAAAAAACATTTTTTTCATCAAATAGTGTAACAATGCTGCATAAAAAATGGTACAACTAAAAATACCGAGCGTCTGAAATGATTATTTTTGCTTACGGTATGTAACAGTTGACATAAGTTCCATCCAATATTACTGAGTCTGTATAGTTTGTACAATTTGTTGTACCAATTAGGGCATTTAAAAACAGCTCTAGTGTTGAAAAGCTAAGATCTGATACAGTGGGGAACGGGTTGCATTTTACCCCTGGATAAGCAGGAGTACAATTTTGATACGAGTTTGAATTTGTTGGAACGAAATTAGTTATGGTTGACAATGGGAATTGGGCTGAAAATAGAAGATTACAATGTTTGAAAAATGTGGAATTTAAGCAAATTCAAATCGAAGAGTCAAGTTTTTTCAAATAAAAAAAACAGATTTTGAACATTTCTGAAAGTAGAAAAAAGCTGAAACATGAAATAAAATACAAATGAATTGTAAAAATGCGAATTAATTATACGTCCAGAATATGGACAAAAATCTTAATTTTGTTATTTCTGGAATAAAAAAACTTCAAACCGAACGTAAAGAGGCAAAAAATTATCAGAACAATTAAACGGAACATTTTCTGGACTGAATCTCTTCGAAACTGACACGAGATTCGGCTTAAATTCCAATTTCATTAATAAAATATATATAATGCCGAGCAGTGAAGCATTGGGAACTCACAAGTGGACTCTCAGTGCACATAATGATATAAATATAAAGCTGAACAAATTGGAATGGATTTGAGTTTTATTTGCTCGACGATTTCGTAGACAATTAATAAACACAATGCACATTTCTTGAACAAATATAATTACAGCAAATTTCTTCTGATAATAAGAGAAAAAGGGAATTCCGAGAGTGATCGTTCATAACAGAGCCTGTTTTTTCGAGACCTTCTTCTTATTGTGAAATTCATTTGTTCTTATTGAACGCAATGTGACTTCTAATTAATTTTTAACGTGAAATAACTTGAAACTGATCTAGAAGCAATTTTACGTTTAAGAATATTGGAAGTCACATTGCGTTTTTGAAATTTAATTTAATTTCACAATAAGAAGAAGATCTCGAAAATAAAGGGCTCTGGTTCATAAAAATAAATTATCGCATACCATGAAATCGTTGAAGTAATTGATGAAATAAACGGCATGCATTGACATCCGTTGTTACTTAGTTTTCGCAGAGTTTCAATTGTATTTCACTAAACGTGCAATGTACGTCGCACAATTTCTAAAATACAAAATTATCTGTTTATCTCGTATCGTTCAAATAAACAAAATACTTTGGGCATCGTGGTACCTGTTACGTGGTACTATGCAATTTGTACGCTTACAAGCCAAAAAATGTAAAACATATGAACATTTGGTTTTTTTTAATTCATCGATCAATTTATTGAAAACCAGAGATTGTGTATTTGCTGTTGAATAGGCTTGAGCTGAGCTAAATTTGCTAATTCAGGCGCCTGAAGCGTTATTCTAACGCATTTACGGTGAGATGATGTCACTGATATCAAAGATCCACGTATCTTCCCAGCCGTGAATGCGCTAAAATAACGCTTCAGGCGCCTGAGTTAGCAAATTAATCTCAGGTCCGGCCTACTCAGAACTTCTGAGTCAGAAGCAAATACACAATTTCTGTTGAAAACAAAGGCATATCATTTTTATTTTCCTAAAATATTCTACATCGTTCTCAACTGTATGTGTTCATAACATAGTAACCGGATTTCATATAATCATATATTGTGACTATGGCCGGTTCGCCTAAGCCGGGCAATGCTGGATGGAATGCTGTATATGTGGAAAAGAGTGGATCTTTCTGTGTTAGCTCCCGAAACACTTGTAAAACGTAAGAATGTGAACATCCAGGATTCAGGAAGCATGGGCAACCGGGCTGACAATATGTACTAGTCGGATTAAGGAGAACATTGACATCGCCAAAAGAGAAATCACACGTTCCTAATTGACATGGGTTTGAGTGGAACACCATTGAATACTTGGCACATCCCGTTTGAATGCCTTGGCAACGAAGACCGAACTCATAACCAGGACCAGCGGGATCAAGACCAAAAATTGACTTGACTTGACGTCCTCTAGATTTTAAGTGCTGTGCAACATATCCAATCCTGAAAAGAGATTGAAATAGAAAAAACAGATTTGAAAGAAAAGAATGTTGGGAGCATTTAAATCTCGATGAATCTGCAGTTATTCGGATTAGTACGATAGATCGAACAGACTTATATCTGGGCATGTATTTGTACCGATTGGTATGCTATTCGTCCGAGATAAATGCTCTAATAGGAAATGTTGCAACAAACTAAATGTACTTAATTGTTCTCATATTAAAATTTTACATTTTGAACCGACTCTTTCATGATATACCGGCCATCGCTAGTATAGTGCATAAGACTAAACCCATTCATTTTTCATTGTTTTCAAAATTCCGCACGAAATAACTACAATAAGACTTAATGGGAATGGATGCGTTTAGTATTATGGTATCTAGCGTTACTGTGCCCATTGACACAATATACTAGCAATGTGAATTCTGAATGCTCTTCATCAAGAATTAATTTAAACTTTTCAAATATTTCCAAAAAAGTCTTACAACTGAGACCCAATGCTGTGACCAATTAGCTCCATTTCCTCTACAACCACACAATTGCTCAACAGATGAGCGAAGAAATCAGCAATTTTACTAATTAAACACAAAGTTATTTGAATATAACCGTAGCATGATAGACCGGCAAAGCCCCAATCAACTGCCATTATCGTCGAATTCGATATGTCCGCATAAAGCTGCATATCAGCTGGTGTCCACTCAAAAACTGTATCAGAAACAAAAACCAAAATACTAATATCAGAAAACACCGCTAAATTTTCTTTACATAATAATTTTGACTGGCTTGAGCTATTGTTTCAGTTAAATAATTTTGAACTTTGCAATGTATTTTTCAAAAAGAAAAAAAAATGAAATTGTTATAGAAGAATGAAATCGCATAAAAATCAAAGAGAGATCGACTTGCTTGTTTCTATGGGATTGCTTCCATTACAGTTGTCTCCATAGCCAGGCCAAACCAATTTTACAGAGTATCCCTTTAGTTTCAATGCATCGCAGCTTTTCAATACATCTGTTGAGCTTATGCTTTGTGGTTCTTCGGCGTTATTTCTGTGGGATTTACCTTAGATTATTTTATCGATTTATACAACTGTAGAAAGAATTTACTTAAAAAGCTTAACAGAAGTGCAACAAATGCCACAAAAAATGTCAACGGACGAGAGGTGTCCAACTTAATAACGAAAAACATGAAATAATTACTGAATAATCGCTATATATTAATATTTAATAATAATGTTAACTCAAGATAGTCAATGACTTCAAATGTATTCCCAGCAATATTTACTCACGGATGGAATATAATAAAGTTAAAGGACTTTGACATTGATTCATAGTCCGTTGTATTAAGCGGATTTTGTCCAAATGATTGAGTGACATAGAGTAAAATCTCTTGTATCTGCAGTATATTCGTGAATGCGGTCAATGCACCCGCAAAAACGTTCACAACCTGCTGGAATGGCGCAAAACCGAAGAAGTTTTCTATCGCCGAACAAACGCCATTGCTGAGATCATCGCTTAGGCAAAACGGAGGACTGCCTGTAATAACATTTCATTTAAACGAATATGATGAATGATAAACGTAAAGATGTTTCGATCTCAATACAAATTTCGTCGATTTTAACAAAAAAAAAACCTATGAATTTCACAAACCATTCGGTATTTGCATCCGAACACAATCCACCAAAACAAGTACGATCGACACTTTCAACAACAAAATCATTTTCGTACACAACTGTTCATTTCGATGTCGTTATTTCGACTGTTGACTTTTGAATGTAAAAACTCAAGAATTCTTACGCATTCCACCTGGCGCATCAAATCAACAGATCTTATCATCATAATTCGCAAATCTTTAACTTGAAAATCCAGATCAGTGGACAAAATCTGCATACGGAATGCAAGTTTCTTTTTTTCGAATACAAACAACAGCTGAAATAATTAATTTCAATCAGAAATATCTGATGCTTCGGCAAAGAGAGGTGAACAAAGACAAAATTTGGCAAGGCGTAGAGAGAATAAGAGAGAACGAAGTGAGAAAAAAAAAACGCATGGAACAAGTTTTATTGTTGTCATTCACATCACGTTAGCATGTGTAGTCACAAATTTTTAATCCACGCTTTGTCCAAAAAGTCATCGTTCGATGATTACGCACGTTTTGAATTCATCTCTGCTTGAAAGTAAAAAGTAAGAACAAAACAGTTTTTTTCGTTTGTAAAATATTCATTCAAATTCGCATGTTTTATTTATTCGCAAAGTTCAAAACTTTGAGCAAATAACAGATAAATTCATCGGATTAAACCTTTCTTTAACAAAATTTCCATCAACTGGTGTCAAGTACCTTAGGAATCTTCTTTTCTGTTTACCAGTTTGGTCCACTGGATTGAATTTGTTCAAAGTTAGTTGAAATCGATTGAAATTCCAATTACAGTACGTACAAAAATCGAGTCGAAATGTCCCAAAATAGACGACCAAGTACTACTTGGCAAGTAGTAGTCAATATTTTTTTCACATGGGATACGGGATTTTGTAAAAAAAACAACAACATGAAAATTAGCTTGACTTAAAAAAATCACAAGTGTATCAGTTAACGTTGTAAGCCAAAGTAATGGCTTCTTATTTATGAGATGACGCCATACACCAACAAGAAATATAAGAGAAGAAGAGAAAAGTAAAAATTAAGGGCCTCAAAAAAATTTTCAACATATTTTCGTTCTAAAACTTCATAATTTGCTGTGAATCATTTTCATCCCGTACCAGAATGAAAAGAATTCAGATTCAAATTCAAATTGATAGCCATTTTTGTCTGAATTCAAAGTAATCACAAACAAATCAAGATCGATATTGTCATAAAGACATAAGAACGATTTTTTATCAGAAAGAAATCGAAATAAAAAAAAATGCATTCAGGGAAAAATAAGGGAACATTGGCTAAGATGGACAGTTGGCTAAGACGGACACCAAGTCAAATTTTTGACAGATGACGTTCAAATGTCAAATTGATCAGCGTCCAGTTGATCATTCATTGTGAGCTAGTTTTTGGTGTGGTTCCGAAGAGTAAAAACGTACTCTGTGTCTGTGAAAAAAATTTCGACTAAAATTTTCTCGAAAATTCTTTTTTCTGAACACCTTTGATTTGACCATAGAGTGAATTTTTTTCGAAAAGTTTGGAAGGTAAATGTATCAAATGTTTTGTTTTCTATTCTAATTCCATCATACCACTTGAGTTTTGATGCTTTTTCATCATGGAATTTTTTTTTTGGCGTCATTCACAAAATAACGTATTTTGGCTAAGATGGACACCCATAGATTTTTTGTGTTTTGTACTCAGATTCGATTTTTATGTCTTAATATCATGATTAAAGCAATCCAATTGCACTTCAAAAGCGAATTTATCCAAATTTATCACGTTTTTAATGCATTTAGTGACCAAAAAGGTATATCGATTATAAACCTCCTTCGAGATTTTCTGGGTGTCCATCTTAGCCAATAAATTTTTTAATGCCCTACTAACTTTACTTTTTGTGTTGAAAGCTTATAAATTAATGAAAATTGAATTAATTCATAGAAATAGGCATTGTAATTCAAATATTCGTCAAATTTTTCAAATTTTAATCTTTTTGAACAAATTTTCGCAATTAATTTGTATGGGTGTCCATCTTAGCCAATGAAATTTTTTTTTGACCGTTTTCGGATGGTCGGAAAATTTGCGATACAATTTTTTTTTGCACTACAACAGAAAAACTCTCTTCGGCAAAAAGTTTTCATTTTCCATCCTCTTTCGAGCCCTATTGTCAAATTCAAGAAATATGCAAATATAAAAATTTTATAGCCAAAATTCAAAGTGGTGTCCATCTTAGCCAATGTTCCCTTATAGGTATATGTTTTTACCCGATATATCGGGTTTTTATATCGCCAAAATCTTCGAATGTTTCTTTTATTTTTCAATGAACAAAAATGTAAATTTAGATTCTATTAATTGAAATTGATTCATTTAGACATATCAGAATATTTATATCTAATGATTTTTGAACTTTGAACCTTCATTTACAATTCATCGTATGCATGAGTTTTAGCCTGTTGAAGTGATGGATTTTTACTAGATTCAATAGCGTATACGCCGGGTTTCATTGTTTTATAAATGGTCACTGTGTGAATTGGCTCCCGTTCTTTATCAGCCAAATATGTTCCCTTCAAATCTTCTCGCCGGGCTAGAGCACCGAAAAGGGTTGTAGATGCGTAAATATGGTTGCACATTGATGAATTGCACTGACATCTATACTGGCAATAATCTTTCTCCAGATTAACATGAACATTAACTGCAGCTAATTTATCATTTTCAGTTCCCAATCCACCGGGATTGGTCAAGAAAACCATGGTATCTATTGCGTACTCTTTCTGAATACCCTGACACTTTCCACCGCCGAATTTTTTAATGAAAAGTGGCCCAGCGGGATCAAGTCCAATGAGTTTCTCCACCTTTGACGTCAGTTTATTTAAGCTTTTCGCTGTGTAACCGATCATATGAGATCCTAATGAGTGGCCAATCAACCATGTGTTGGAAATTGAAGTGGATGGTGCAATTGTTGAACAAGTCTCAATCACTTTTGCCATCCATGCACTGATTTTACTCATATGACAGTATAACAACACAGGATAACTGCAACACGATAATTCATTTGTACCTTGAATGTGACGAAGCGATTGGTGCAAGAAAGAAGAAATTGTAAAAAGAAAAATAGAAAAAAAAAACGTTGAGAATTTATTGCAAAAATTACCCCAATCAATTGCAATCACCTGCGCATTGGCATCTTTTACCAACTTCGGTGCATTATCAACTGTCCAAAGATTCGCTTGAATTGGCGGAAATAGAAAAATAAACGTAAATTAAATTTTTTTTAAATCAAAATGGACAAATTCGAATGAATAAAACCACAAGATCGGGAAGTTTCGAAAATGGAAATAAAACTGGGAAAAGAAAGAAAATTGGAATTCTATGCCTGGTCTAAGTGTTCTGGATTTGAGTTGCATTAGAAACAGTATTAGCTCATGTTACACTCGCGTTGGATAGAAATTCAAGTAACGTTTTGAGGGAACAATATTTTATGTTCGGTTGCAACATGTTGCTGTAACAGATCTGTATTCCCATTTTTATGCTCAGCGACACATTTAATTGTGTGATCTATTCAAACGGGCCACACATCAATATTTGCCGATTTAGAAGCGAAAATTTGGACAAAATAGAAAGTTTTATGTAATTATGATATTCCGTGGTCGGTAAAATCAACAGTTAGATCCAGAAAAACTGGAACGATCCTCAATCTCAAGACAGATTTTCAATTAGGAAAAAAAATTGTAAAAAATTCTAAAGATGTCTTCAAGTATTCTACCTCCGCTAGTGAATTTAATTTTGGTGCAATTGTTCAACCATCCAGGCCACAGCCAAATTGTTTTTGCTGCCAACTTCGCACCGGATTTAAGAGGATTACATCCTTCAAGTAAATCAATCCCATCGATATACTCAGGTTTATCTGCATCTCTGTTCAGTTTAAATTAGTTTAAAAATTCATTTCAATGAATATAATTGATTTTTGATAATTATTAAATGTGCAAAGTATCAATGTAACAACATATTTTGAAATAGTTTTCTCTTTAATTTAAATAAGTCTAACTCCAAAGATTTATAAAAAGAATATAATATATAGCTTTGAATAGAACAAACTTGAATGATTTCGCTATGGTTATATCGTTGGTTGGATCAAAAACGCACTGGTCTAATGCCTTGTGAACGGCTTTCACGAATTGAATTGGTATACCTGTTGCAAATTACAAAATACACACATCAGAATTATATTACTTTTCCGCAAACTTTGTTTGTTAGGTAAAGTATTGGTTTTACTAGCCAAAATTTCATGACATCTCCTCTTTCGGACCACTATAACGTCACGCCAAACTTGAAAAAGCACATATCTGTACACTAGGCAATGTAGACGGGATCAAATCCTATCGATCAAGACCTATCTACCCCCAAAAACATGTTGTTTACTATGAAATATGTGCAAAATAGCGATGTGCGTATGGCGTCGTTCGCGTTCGCGTCCGAGCTTTTTGTTCGCCGAATATCTCAAAAAGTTGACAAGATAATTAAGATCTGTAAAAACCAAAAGTTTTGGCATGTCGAGACAAAGCTTCGGATTGATTTTGAGCCCATTCTGATTTACCAATTTCGTACCATAAGCCTCCGACTGAGGACCTGAAAAACCTTGAAAATGACACTTTTGTACGGGAAGTACCCGAAAAAAGCATTTTTTAGGGTTTCGATCAAGGCAAACTGCCATTTTTTTGCAAAAATAATGGGAGTCTGTGAAAAACCAAACACCTACTTGCCCATAAATTTGGTCCAAAACCGACATTTCTTGAAATTTTTGAAATTCTGTTCGAAAATGACATTTTTATATGGAAAATGGTCAAAATAGTTATTTTTCCAGCTCAGAAGTGCTATAAAAAGAGTTTTTATTGAAATTTTGGTAAAATACTAAGCGGGAGGTAAACCAAATTGCCGCGGAGCGGAAAAGTTTGAATTACGTATGTAATTCGTTTTATTTGAAAATTGGTTTAGTAAACGATGGAAAAATAGTAATTGTCACGAAAGTAAAAGAGTGAAATCTTTTGATCTTTGCTCAATGAAGCAGCGGACCAGTCTTCACATGCGTAGATTGGCGTAGATGTAGCATTTCACTTGATTTAGCGATTCATTAGTTGTCGAAACATCATCTATGCAGTCCACTCCATATATCACGTGAAATCTCAATATTCGATTAGCCGAATGACTTATGGCTACAACGATGAAGTACGACGTTATATCTAACGCGAATTACTAACGCGTGGGGCTTCAAATGAAATCATACTTCGGCTTACCAAATATTATGTGACGACAAGTCCACTGCTTCCATTGAGTGAGCTTCAACCAAATCAATCAACTTTTACATTATTTCCTGGAGTTCTCTACTCTAAATACCCATTAAATTGCTGAAAGCACCCGTGAACCCCGATAAAAGTCTACCAATACCGAGGTCGGAAAGCGATTTAAAATTATTACATGACGCATGATCTTGCTCAGGCGTGCTGCATATTTGTGAATCACCTTAACGAAAGATTGGAACGAATAAGGTTTATTTCATTATTGCAATTAGTTTGTTTTTATTCTGATTTGAATTAAATTTTGAACTATTTTCATTAAATAATTTTTGTTGAATTCTTGAGTAAAACACTTTGAACACTTTGGACATAATTTCTAATATGATTTGGTACGAATATACCACACCTAAATGAATATAAAAACCCAAGAGCAAAACTAAAAATAAGACACCGGTAAGCCTAGCCATTTTTTGAGATATTGCTGATTATTGTCTGTATGTCTATAGTCAACTGCAGGGGAATGACGAATATGAAATCGCATTGCCTGAATATTGAACCACGTAAGTTGATTTATTTGTTCATTTTGGTCGTTTGCATCAGTCAATGCCTTTAAAATTCAAAACAGACCAGCTATCGACAGTATTTGAGTTAATTTAATGGTTTTTATTGTCAGAACATAACATATGGGAGTCGTTCCAAGGAAAATTAATATCAATACACATATCGATGAAAAATAAATTGCATCGAGCGAGAAAAAAAACGGTTGAATTACAATTCCATTCGATACAACTGATAAAATTTCGATATAATTTATGAGACTCTTTCATTCATAACACAGTACAATATTTTTGAAAACATTTCAGACAATATCAAAGTGCAGCAAGTACGCTCTGTGACTGATTAGAACCACAAAATACTCACGTTTCGTTCTAGTTCGGTAAACTGTAGATTGGAAATGAATGGGAAATCTAAATGGCGCCTTCAGTAGCGAATCTGTTGCTGCACTCCTCTTTATAAAGTGGCTAGCATGGAATGTAAATACTACTATAGACAAGTAAAACTCGGTTTTGCAAGTTCTCTTGTTTAAAAAAAAATACCGAAGAAACATGTCAATTATCGTCAAGAAGAAAGAAAATTAAAAAAAAAAATGTTTGTAGCAACACTTTGCATCTAGGGTAAAAGAACACACGCATATAATCTTGTATTGAATACATACAAAATACGAAGTGTGAAATTGTAGAGCGCTGTCCATAAATGACGGCAAAATTCGGTACTATTTGGTGTGATTTCGCAACATTTCACAATATGTGGAAATCACTTACGGCTATTTACAGCTGATTTTGCCGTCATTTATGGATGGCGCTCTACAAATGTTCAAAGTTAGACAATAAGCGGGTGGAAAAGAACTATTGGTATATTTGCTCTATTGAGAAATAATTGCTTCCCGGAAGAAACCAGCCATTTCCCCTAAGACATGAATGGAATTTAATTACAAATTTTCAATCAAATTTACTTACTCAATCATGTACAGTTAATACACAGTCAACCGACTGTGTTGAATTCGTTATTGATATTGAGAGAAAAATTCTTTGAACTTTCTTTTCTGCACAAACCTTAAGCTTAAATGTATTTATGATCAACACTACACACTTAAATCGAGAAAAAAAACTATAAATACGTCAAAAAATTATAATTCATATCGGCATATCCAAAGCAGGCGGTTGTATTAAATTGAAAGCATCCTTCTTTTTCGTCATTGTACAAACCAAATCGACTTTGACCAACATCTGAGCCATTGCAACTCGTTCCCATGAAAATGTATTCGTGAAAACAAGACGCATAAAACAGTTCAGTAGCTCGAGAATGATTGCACGTGTCAAGCAAACATCCAGGTTGTTTGGGTTTGCCTTTATTAGCATAGAAATCGCTGTGCCCGAGCCGGGTTTGAGTGCCAAAATATTTCGATGTGTGAAGCACTTGCACAAACTTTGCACAACTCGCATTCAACCCTCTATCGGTTCCATATAATGGAGCTGCTGGATCCAAACCGTCAATTCGGGCCAGCTGTTCACCCGTCAACTTTGTTAAATAAGCACCAGCAGCACCAGCTGAAATTTCAAATGGATAAAGATAATGAGAAAATCTAATTGTTGTTCAAATGCGATCATTTTTACCGATATGAGCTCCTAGACTATGTGCCAAAATTCTGGTGTGATTCAATTGCAATCCCCATCGATCGATACTATTTGCAAGATATTTGCCTAGGTCATACGTAACTTTTTTCGCCAAATAGATATAGTTGCAATTCGACAGAGCATTATAATCGACTAAGATCACATTGACATTTCGATCGGTTGAAATCTTCCTGGCAACCGTTTCCATCCATTCTAATTTTATGAAGAAAACAAATTCGTTCAGATAATTGTCTGGTCTTAAGCATTTTACGTTCAATTGTATACCTCCTGGTTTAACGCCATCCGTGAATCCATGCATGATGATAAAATTCGGATAGTTTGGATTTATCAATTGGCTCATATCGAACACAGAAGTCTCTTGATATGTCGTCTGACCGCTTGTCATGTAAAAATACCGAACAAACATGCCAATTTTTGACACTAAACTCGGATCCTCTTCTGGATCATACGGACACTTGAAAAGACCCGACCAAATTCTACCGAAATATTGATAATCGAATGTCGATGGAAACGGAGATTTGCATTTGCTACCGAGGAAGAAGATTCCTGTGATAGATTGGGAATTTTAAAAACAAATCAATTATTTCTAAAATTCGGGCTAAAGAAATCAATCAATTTAAATAAAAAATTGTTCTATAACCCATAAAAAAATCCACATGAAAAATGTGCTCAAAATAGATTAGTATGGATCACACCGACTTCACCTCATTTTTGGTATGAGTCAGAATTTTACACCAAAAACTCCATATAAAATGAGCTCATTTTTGATGTGACTCACAAAAATGTTTTGCTTTTGGTCATTTATGTTGACACATTACTTATCATTGTATTGTCAGTCACATCAAAAATGTGCTCGTTTTGTATGGAGTTTTTGGTGTAAAGATCTGACTCACACGAAAAATGAGCACAAATTTGATGTGACTGACGGTGTGAGCTATACTAATATGGAGAACATTTTGTGCACATTTTTGATGTGGATTTTTTCATGGGAAATCTTTGACTAAACTGAAACCGTTCTCACCTGACACAGCCGGAGCTAATAGAAAAATAACAAAGATTTTCATATTTGAACAAAAAAAAAGTCCACAGTTCAGGTGTTCTCTGTTCTATCACTTTTGAAATGATTGTTGCCAAAAAATATATTTGATGCGTTTTTTCTCGCTTAAAATTTGTTATCTTTGATGTCGCGAAGCAATTTGGCTTATCGCACCATAATATCCCGTTGAATATCTTCATGAGTTTTTCAGACTGATAAAAATTGACACAATCATTACCCTTGACAATGGAGATAAAGAAAACTAACGATAATATCAAAATATTTTGATTTATTTGGTTGAGGCGAATGAAAGACAAAACGAAAATTCAAAAATTTGAAATAAAAACAGTGAGAGATTACGATGGTAAGTAGATTTCATTGAGCTTGAACGATATGAAATTTGAATAGAGTTCATATCGAAATGTCTAGATGTAATATAAAATGATAGTATCATATGGATGTGTTTCACGGGAGAGAAAAAACTAAGACCTACCGTAGGTCACCTACGCAATTCCAGAAATAGTTGGAAAAGAAAAAAATAAGTCAAAAGCATTGCTAACAATTCATGGACACGTTGGAACTAAGTAATAGAAATAAAATATCCGTGAAGTAAAAATATAGTTTCGTAGAGATGCGGAATCTGAAGATTTATTGAATTTTAATATTATTATTGAATTGTTAGTGCTGAAGTTATGCTTACGCTCAATCCAAACCTTCGAAATTTTTGATAATTGCTTCCAGGTATCACAGCCTTTTGCTCTCGTGTATGTATTAACTTTGGATAAATACGCTTGAGGAAGTGTTTTTTTCCCACTAGCTCTTTACCGAAGACACCAACACGTTATCTCTTATTATAGTCCAGTTTTTATACAAAATACACAAGGGGCGTTGTACGCTTTAAAGGACGAAGTTAAGTTGTGAAGAGGAAAGACAGACTAAAGGTTATCCTTCTAATCGGCAAGACCCGATTAGTGCCCCAAGGAAGATCCACTTTCATTCAATAATTTTTGATGAGAAATTTTAACAATAAACTATGCGTGAACTAAATGTAAAATTACTAACAAATCATAATAAGTTATTTTTATTTTATTTTTTATTGAGTATGAGGTGTAAATAACAGGAAAAATCCCTTTTACAATTTATCACCTATCGTTTGTTTTTACCAAGGTGCGGAAATAGTACTAAATTTCAAAATTGCCGCGTATTTTAGTTACAAAATAAACTCCACTTTACATTGATTTGCTATATACCTCAGTGGCGCTAGTTTTGTGAATGGGAGAAATTGACAGCTCTTCTTCCGAAACATGGTTTTTACAATTTTGATAGTTACTTTGGTCAAAGAATTCAAACATTTCATTAAAAACAAAAAGAAAATTGTTGAATTCTCGAAAATGAATGAGAAAGAAAAATTAAATTAAAAAAAAACATTTCATAAAAGAATGAAAAATAATCGAAATCAAATTCTATTTTTAATTGCATCTTTAAATCGCACTTTGTTTAGGCACAAAATGTCAATGTCGGTATATTTTCTATTATAGAGTAGTTGAGTTCGCATTGTTGGATTGCGGTGTGAACCGTAGTCTGTTCTAGATGTATGAGGATTGAAAATTTGATGCACCCTCCTAGATTGACGGTTCACTCTCATAATTGGCCTGTTGTCACGAACCATATTTGCATCATGAACAATGTTGTGTAGGAGGCAAGCATCGAAGTATTCACGTCTTCCCTCCAATTCACTCATGTTTAATATTTCAAGTCTTTGTGTGTACGGTAGTGATTCATATTGGAGTTTAAAGAAGAGAAGACGAGTATACTTTCTCTGCACTTTTTCAAGTTTGGAAATGTATGTGCTTTGGTATGGGTTCCAGACTGCAGTGTTGTATTCAAGTCTGGATCTGACAAGAGAATTATATAGGAAGTTTACGCAGGACAGGTCACTGAACTTTGATGCAGTTCTCATTACAAAGCCCAGCATGCTATACGATGTTTTGACAATTGAGTTAATGTGCTCATCGAATTTCAATTTTCTGTCAAAGATAACGCCCAAGACTTTCATTTTATCAACCTCTATCAGTGGATTGCCATTGATGTTGTAAATGGCAGGTGTTGGGTTTATTTTATTTGAAAATGTCATGGCGTAACATTTTCCAATATTGAGTTTTAATTTATTTTCAACGGTCCATCTGTGAAGTCTATCAATGTCTTTTTGCAATTCGATTACATCATTAGGAGAGCGAACGATCCTGAATATTTTCAGATCGTCCGCAAAAAGCAGATGGATGTTTTCGAGTAGTACGCTGAGATCATTGATGAAAATATTAAAAAGAAGAGGCCCCAATACTGAGCCCTGCGGAACGCCTGAGCTTGGCTCAAATGGTGATGATCTGTGTCCATTAAATGTCACATAGACGAGACGTTTTGTAAGATAAGATTCCAGCCATAATAGCAATCCAGCTTCAAGGCCCAGTAGCTGAAGCTTAGAGAGGAGAATATTATGATCAACTGAATCAAATGCTTTTGTGAAGTCTGTGTATATTGTATGTACCTCAAAACTATCATCAAATGCTGTCGATACATGAATTACATTTTCAATGAGGTTGGAGTTTGTTGATTTATTCTTGATAAAACCATGTTGATTTGGTGTTAATTGGTCTTCTATCAATGATAATAAGTATTTGTTCATGATCTTCTCAAAGAACATCGCAATGGAATTGGCCATACAGACTTGGGAGTTGCCAATGACGTTTTGAATGCTAGAGGAAATTCAGAACACAATAGTGACTTGTTGAAGATTAATGCAAGTGGAATTGACAATTGCTCGCACACCTGTCTCAGAAAGAAATTCAGAATGCCATCAGGACCACCATTCTTATTTGAAACTAACTTTGAAATTTTAATTTTAACATCATTTGGTGAAGAATGATTGATATAAGAAAAATGATTGTTGTTCAAATAAGATTTCACTTTTGTCTAGTTTACTCGGAACTAGATTTAGGTCAGGAGCTACATACGGTACTGACGAATTTTCATAGTTACTATGTTTTGTTAACATGATGTTAATTCAGAATTCGGATGTAAGGAATGTATACTTCATGCATATTATCGAGGGGCTTATTTGTCATCTCGAGTCAATCAGCTCAAAGATGAAACATTTACTTTTATTACTCGCTTTTCACTTGAAAGTGAACCAGAGCCACTTCGAACCTGATTTTTAGAATAATTTTTATGATTTACTCTGTACAATTTATTTACATTCTGTCAACAAAAAAAAACTACTTGGACTTTTAATGTAAACCGCTAACGGTTTAGGTTTTGGATAAAACATTCTTTCGCTGGATTTCTCCAACAAACATTCAATTTGAATATGATGTCTCTCCACTGCAATAATTCATGAGGGGGTTCATTCGATTCATGTATGTAAACTAACATAGCCGATGCTTGCCTACGGCGTATCATTCATATAGATCGCGTCCAAATTCAGCACGGATGTTCGTCAAAGTTGCACAAATCCCCAGGTAAAAAATATTCTACTAAATAGCAAAAGCGATACCGTAAGTAATTTAAAATGCAAATAACATGAGCTATTTTTTAACACAATGGTTATCGATGGTGGTTCTTTTTCTTCGCTGTACTATTTGCAATAATGACATAGCAAAAGGTTGGCGTATACCATTTCCTTCAATTACCGAAATGATTCAGTGCGATTGCTTTAATGAGTCGGTAAATCTTCACCATTTCAATTGGATTTCGGTGTATTTATCAATAGTGTTAATTATTATCAACAAATGAAGAACACTTAATATCTTGATAAATGTTTTATGGCTCGAATTGTATAGGGAATTTTATTTCTTTGTTTTCTTTCGTAATCATCATTCAAAAATGATTATTACGTCATTGGTGACACAGGGAATTCAACTTGTTGCCGATAGTGATTTTGTCGTTCGACAAAAGTCACACTTGTAAAATATAAAATAGGCAACAATATATCCATAAAACATGACTTCCGAATAGCAATTTCTTTTCTTTTTCTCTTTTTCTTCAAAATGATAGCACATGATACATGACACATGACACATTTTATACATGATATCACTTGAAAATCTTAAAAGCAATTGCAAATGCGTATTGTGTGGCAAATTTACTGACGAAAATGTGCCGCAGTGTGTGAGTCAAATCAAATTGGTCCTATTTAAACACAATAAAAATGCGCATTTTTTTATATCAGACACAAAGGTAGCCGTAATTGGGGACAATTATCATTACTCGGTAAATAGAGTTTTTGATCTATTTTTTCAACACGATATTGCTACTTACTGTGGGGCCTTGGTATGTAATATGATTTTTATTTTCTTGGTAGTTTACTCTGTTCTTTCCTTAACAACTATATTTGTTTAATGCTCAATCACGTATCGATATATAATGAGTTCGGCTTGCGCGCGCGTGTGTTATCGAAATTACATGTAGTGTTGATGATGATGATATGATGATGAGCAATCAATATTATAAATTGATGTCTTTAATTACGACATACAAATATTTACAGAAGATTGAAATATTTATACGGAGAAAAAACGGATAGACGTGTTCAATTGCTTATCAGTCTATTGACTCGAGGATGATACAATTTAACTACATTTTATCTTTACATCTAACCAAGTGCAAGCGACACCGTTAGGGACCGTGTAAGTGTATCGTTCTTATCATTGCAAATAGTTTTTGCGCCCATTCAACGAACATACCATTCGAACAATTATTTCTATTTTGTTGTTGTTGTTGTTGTTATGTTTCTGAAATCGATTCCACAATGCCTAGACAAAATAAGTTGACTGTATCACAGTTTCAATGATTAGTTATTCACGGCATTCCATGTGAATCTGTTGTGCTTGTGCAGAAAGTTTAACGGGATAGAAACAGCCATGAATTTCGTTGGGTATATTTTAATTGGAATTTTGTGTTGCACAATTGTGTCAGGTGATTTACGACCATTGAATCCAACAAATGTTCAGACGTTTACTGTAGATACTCGTGATGAACAAAATTACCGTTTGCCAAATAATACGAAACCGGAAACCTACGATATTACAATAAGAACGACAGTGGATGAAGCAGTGAATGAAGACAACGACTTCAGTTTCGAAGGAACGGTGGTAATCAACATCAAGGCGCTAGAAGAAACGTCTACCATTACCCTACATGCACGCCAATTAACCATAACAGACATAAGACTAAAATCTGCAAATGGTGGTGATATTCAATTAGAATGGACATACTCGATTGTTCCCGAATTAGTCATCCTTGCGACCAAAAGTAAACTTGAAAAAGACAAAAACTACCTAGTGACCATCGCCTACACGGGGGAATTGCGAAAAGATAATGCCGGTTTTTATCGATCATCATATCTTGATGCCAACGGATTGAGACAGCAAGTCCTATCGCCACATCTATCGATGGATATGATGAATAATCGCATCAATTTTTGCTTTGCAGTTGGTTGGCGACAACACAGTTTGAATCGACCGATGCTCGACATGCATTCCCATGCTATGATGAACCTGCATTTAAGGCCAATTTCACTATTCATATAGATCATCATGTTTCGTATAACGCTATATCAAACACTCATGGAACAACATCAGCACCGGAGTAAGAAATTGAAGAAAGCACTCTAACCGCAAATAATCATCGGGTTTTTCATTTCAGTTCGGAGGGTAGAGTTAAGACAACCTTTGCCACAACGCCACCGACATCGACGTATTTGATTGCATTTATCGTGTCAGATTTCGGATATACCGAAACAAATGCGTCAGATAACAATCCAACTCATCAACGGGTCTTCACCAGCAAAAATAAGCTCAGCCAAACTGCATACGCATTGGATGAAGGCGTGAAGATTTTGAATGCCATTTCAAAATATGTTTCAGTGCCATTTTCCTTGCCAAAAATGGACCAAGCTGCGATACCAGATTTCCGTGCTGGAGGTTTGTACCATTTTAAATTGAAAATAAATTGAAATAATTGGCTGGATTTTCGGTAATCTTCACGCACATTCGATTTTTTTGCCCTTTTCCGTTGCAGCTATGGAAAACTGGGGACTTGTAACATACAGAGAGCCATACTTGTTATATGATCCGAACGTTCATTTGCCATCACGACAGCTCACCATCTCCACAGTAATTGCACACGAATTCGGTCATCAATGGTTTGGCAATTTAGTGTCGCCAAAGTGGTGGACATACATCTGGTTAAATGAAGGATTTGCAACACTGTTCGAATACCTCGGCGCTGGATTGGTATATTTTGAAATGTTTTGCCATTTGTAGTGCAACGTTATGGTACTAATTATCGATGCGTGATTTTGTAATTTAGGTGCATCCGGATTGGAATATTTTCAGCTATTTTATTACAAACCAACTGCAGCCCGTTCTTCGCACTGATGCAAAATCGACTACGCGCGCAATGACCACTTATGCAGAAAGTCCAAGTGGTGTATCTGGTTTATTTGACAGCATTGCCTATGCGAAATGTAAATTATATATGTTTAACCGAAGCATTAGCTTTGGAATTGATTTTTCATCGTGTGTTTTCATTTCATCATGTTCATTTTAGCTGGTTCGGTCATTCGCATGTTTTTGCACGCACTTGGCGAGGACACGTTCAAAAAAGGACTCACATATTATTTAAACGCACAGTGAGTGTCACGTTATTTTTTTTTCATTTGATAAACTTTCGCTCTAAAGTTTTTCCAAGCTCATTTGCACGAGACACACTTTGTGTGGCGTGACGCCATATGTTAGAATCGATCAAGAAAATCATTTTCCATTTTGGCGCTTTAATTTATTTTTATCTTGCGTTCTAAATATCAATCTCTCTCAAAATAGAGCACATAGTGTGGCTGACGAAGACAACTTGTTTGAAAACCTCAACAAAGCGGCCAAAGAAGATAAAATGATTGCCGATCCATTAACGGTGAAGGAACTGTTTGGTTCATGGTCGAATCAAAAGGGATTCCCATATTTGAAGGTTATGAAAAAAACTATTTTCATACGCACTGCGAAAAATAAATCTTTCCAAATGATTGAAAAGGCTTAATTAACAAAGTTACCATTCCCTTGTAACAGGTTGTACGAAATTCCAATGGTTCGGTGACACTGTTGCAAGGGGAATACGATGCAGTCTACAAGCCAGATGAACCAAACACACGTACCTGGTGGATTCCATACAATTTTGCAACAAGAAAAGTCCCCGAATTCGCTGTAACCACGCCAACTGGTTGGTTCCCGAAAGGTCAAAACCAAACCCTCATTCCCGAAGATAATACGAAATGGACGAAAGACGATTGGTTGGTTTTCAATCGTCAGCAAACTGGCTTCTATCGCGTTTGGTATGACCAACACAACTACGATTTGATTAACAAAGAACTGAACTCCGGCAATCTGTCTTCGATTCATGAAAACAATCGGGCTCAATACATTGATGATTTGAATGATTTTGTGAGCACTGGTCGTGTTCCACCAAAAACTCTGTTCAGTGCATTGACCTATTTGTCAAATGAAAGCCATTACGCACCATGGGTGTCAGCCCGACGTGCACTTTTGGATTTAAATCAAATTTTCGCCGCCAGTAAAAAGCAGCACAAATTCAATGACTTTGTTGCAAAAATTGTGACGAACTTCTACAAGAATAAGACATTGGACGCAATTGAAAATGAACCACTTTTCGATAAACTCTCGCGAAACATTGCCGTTGAATTGGCCTGTCGATTTGGTGTTCCACAGTGTTTGAGCGAAACCTATATCAAATTCCACGATTTTGTTAAGAATGGCAACAAACCATCGCAAGATAATCGCGGTTTAGTGTTTGCCAACGGAATACGTAACGCTACAAGCAAAGAAATCAACAAATTTTGGAATTACCTTGTTGCTACCAACTCCGATGATGAACGCAAAGAAATCATCACCAGCTTGGGAAATATTCAAAATAGCACATACATCAAACGTGTTCTAAACAAAACTCTCGGTAATGTGGGCACTCGAGTGACCAAAGCCGATTTAGTGTCGATCATTCAATCGATTAGTGGCGGTAATCAAAGTGGTCTTGCGATTACCATCACATTCCTCGGACATAATTTGGAAAAAGTCAATACGACCATCGGATCAGTTCCTACGATTCTAACATCGGTTGCCTCAAAGGTTGTTACAGCTGAAGTTCAAACTGATGTAAGATGGCTTGATATTTTTGGAAGAACAACATTTTTTTCAAATCAATCCGATTTTTTTTCCTATTTAGTTCGTCAATCTGTTGGATTTGGCCAAATCTAAAAACTTAATCACCGACGCTGAAATCGAAACTCTCAAAAATACTGTCAACGACAAGGTGGACTGGCAAAAGAACAATGTGAAACAATTTGAAGACGCTCTTTCGAAAGCTGGACCAAAGTCAGCCGCTTCAATGACAGTTCTTCTAGTTTTGCTCGTTCTTATATTCTGTTTGGTTCACTGGAATGCCGAATAAACCAGCATTGTTTAGCCTAGCCATGAGTTCACATGCACATTTAACCCTCAACTGCATGAATTTTTCCTAGGACTAGGAGTACTGGTATTTGGTTGATTTTTGGAAATAGATAACGAAAAAAATATTCATAATCCTAGATTTCCCATGGTTTAGTCAGGAAATGCGATAGAAATAAGTCAGAGAACAATGAAATCCATTGTTTAAAAGTGTCAAAAATATGTCCAATTTGGAAACCGAATAATTTATTTTGTCAAATTTTTGTTTTCGTGCACATTTTTGTTTATAACTCACCAATCGTACGACATAGACAAATGACGCCAAAGACAAAAATAAAGAAAAAACATTGACAAATAAAAATTCCCCTTGAAGCAATGTCATCCGCCGTACGATTCACATTTTACAGGTGTTTAAATGATGCCCGCCAAAAGGCGGGCTTATGCAGTTGAGGGTTAATAGTCAAATTGAACAGATAATGAAAAAAAAGCAGCAATATTGGTATATGGTCAAAGATTGACAAAAAATGTATTGGAATTTATATTTCAAATGACAGTTGAAGGAAATAATCCGATTATTAAGTTAAATCACTTTCGTCCACCGAGATATTTAGCCAACTCCTTATGACCTGAGAAATAATACAGATCAATGAAAAGGATCCAATCAATATCTTATTTAGCGAAAATATGGTAAAATATTGTTACCATTCTTAGCAGCATATTGAAGAGGTGTCATATTAAAATCATCTTTATAATTAACGTTGGCTTTATTGGCCATGAGTTGTTTAGCAACATCCATGTAACCTGAAAAATAATACAAATCGGTGGAGAAGATTAAACCAATTTTCCATTTGGTGTAAATGAATATGCAACATTACCATTCAAAGCTGCTAAATGAAGAGGTGTCATATTAGAGTCATTTCTAATATTAACTTTGGCTCCTTCACCGATAAGAAGATTGACGATATTCTTGTGACCTGAAAAATAATCCAGATCAATAAAAAAATTAAAACAATTTCATATTTAGTGAAATTAAATATTGAACATTACCCTTCTCAGCAGCTAAATGAAGAGGCGTCCAATTCAAATGATTTCCGATATCAACATGGGCTCCTTTACGGATAAGCTCTTCAGCAACATCCTTGTGATCTGGAAAAATAATACAAATCGGTGAAAAAGATCAAATCAATTTCTTATTTAATATAAATGAATAAGAATACATTACCATTCAAAGCAGCTAAATGAAGAGGTGTCAGATTCGATTGATCTGCACTATTAACATTGGCTCCTTTACCGATGAGAAGTTTGGCGACATCTTTGTGACCTGAATATAATACACATATGATGAAAAACATCAAACCAACCTCTTATTCCGTAAAAATAAATACTCAACATTACCTTCCATAGCAGCATAATGAAGAGGTGTCAGGTTAAAATCATCTTTCAAATCAACTTTAGCTTTATTCTTGATGAGCTCTTCAACAACATCCTGGTGACCTGAAAAATAGTACACATGATGACAAAAATCAAACCAACTTATTATTTGGTGAAAATAAATATTCAAAATTACCATTCTTAGCAGCTAAATGAAGAGGTGTCGCTTTCGAAGGATCTTCAATATTAACTTTGGCTCCTAAACGAATGAGCTCTTTGATGACATCATTGTGACCTGAAAAATAATACACATGATGGAAAAGATCAAACCAACCTCTTATTTAGCGAAAATAAATATTTAAAATTACCATACATAGCAGCTCTATGCAGAGCTGTATTTCCTTTTGTGTCTCTTTTGTTTACTAGAAATTGAAATAAAATAATAAAAGAAGTGAATCGAAAGACAATTTCCTTCAACGAACATTAATGTCTTATTTCGTGAGATGAACTTTTCCACACACTCTTGTGTGTGCGCGCCTCAATATATGATGTGAGTTTTGTATGAGTTTTACGAGTATGAGTGCTCTTAAACGCCCCATGATACTCAGAAGTTCATATAAAAGAAATCAAAACAGCATTGCCGCGATTAATCAACGGCGGAAATTTCCAAACAACACCTTATCAAATTCGAGAAAATTGTATGCAACAAAAAATATAAAATTGAGGATGGTGCCCCCAAGAGCCTGAGGCAAATGCCTTTTTTGTCTCTATAGTTAACTCGACACTGCTCCATACATCAAAAAGTGTTTTGTATATGGAATTTGAGAGTGGAACTTGATGAAGAAATAGAGCTTCAATCTTACCGTCTAGTTGTTTTGGAGAATTGATCAACTCCAGAGCTTGTACTCTTTCTTGCACGGACGGTTTTTCACACACATTCACGCCTAAGAACTGTGGAAATAAAATAAGGTGATACAATTTGAATGGGAACAATGGAATCTTGTAATAGTTTTCAACAGTTTTTTATTTGAATAAAAATTTCCGGCGGAAGTTTTCTGGGAATGGAACATTTTTATAATTGAAAAGCTTCACAATGGACGTATTTCATTATTCAAATTATTCCCAAGTGCAAAAATTACGTCTTTTATAAGACGTGCTTCTCGTATTCACGCCTTTCTCACGTCTTTTATATAATTACCGCATGAAAGACGTACGTCTTCTGTGCAACGATTAATGGTATAGCTGAAATAACCAATGTACGAGAAACAAGTCTTATAAAAGACGTAACATTCGCACTTGGATTGCAGAAAAATTACCTCAAACCGCTCAAAGAATCAAATATTAAAAAATTTCATTCAAAATTTGAAAGATAAGAAAATTCCTAGCAATATTATAATGGATAAAAATTTAACTGAAATTGTAGACTCACCTCGGATACCACCAAGCCAATGAACAGCAGTGTGAAAGACTTTAGACTCTGCATTTTTTCAGCTTTGAACTATTAAAAGTTTACTGTAAGCGTATCAATTGAAAAGAATTGACGAACTGTTTGATGGACATACGAATCGAACACAACTTTTTATATACTTTTCGAGTGTGATCACATCAGTAAGCAGCGCGATAGCGGTATAATTTAATCCACGTGCATCGATCAATGACAATTCTAATTAAAATGCACATAATATTATCGCACACATTTTCAAAGAAAAAGAATGTCAAAGAATTGACGTCAATTGGTGGAATTGCAATTCCACCTGCAAATGTGTTTTCGTTCATTCCTTCATCACCTTCAATATGGTTTGAAAAGTAACGCAATTGGATCACATTGAATTGCAAATGTAAGCAAATATTTTTCACTCTTAAAGTGTTGAGTGGTGTTTATTTGACGTAGTTATTTGAATATGGAAATGTTCACATCTTCACGTTGTGCACGAAACACATTCCCTTCCAAAGTCGTTTCAAAGTTAAAAAAATATATCCAGATGAATCGTCATTCACATACGGTAAAGTTGAATATGAATGATTAAACATCATTAAATTCAGGCTCACGTACCATGGTTTGTTCAATAGCTAAGGTGGTAATTAATTCAAGGATATACGAAATCAAATTTACTTTACATCACTCAATAAGGTGAATCTCATACAAAAACATAGCCGTACTTAGTAAGACTTTCCATAGAGATATAGACAGTTTCTCAATTATTTTTAAATTCCAATGAATGTATCAACATGATAGTCGTCTCAGAGCTATTATAGTCATCTCCAATTTGCAGATAAACATTATAAGTATAGGAACACTCAAAATGTGCCGGTCATTGCACTTTATGCAGAGAATACAGCTGTATCATGCTGATCTGGGCCACCATGATCTATTTTTCAAACCTATGTTTTTTGTCAATGAGCAATTGTATCTTTGCAGTGAAAAAAAGTTAATTTTTAAACCAGGGCTTAAGAATCGCACATTCAGTTCACAGTACAACTCATTTCAGTGAGAGCCACAGCGCTCGTGTGCGATGGTCTTCTCATAACAACTGAGTTGTGTGCGCACACTGCTCACTTACTTCTCCTCTGCTTTGTGCGGATCTTCGTTCGGTCGAAGAAAAAAATAAGAAAAATGCGCCTATCTATGTAATTTGTTGTTGTAATTTGATAGTTCGAACTCCCACCGCTTACGTGTACAATGCAAATCAAATGTATTACTTTTCCGCAAACTTGTTTGTTAGGAAAAGTATTGGTTTTACTAGCCAAAATTTCATGACATCTCCTCTTTCGGACCACTATAACGTCACGCCAAACTTGAAAAAGCACATATCTGTACACTAGGCAATGTAGATGGGATCAAATCCTATCGATCAAGACCTATCTGCCTCCAAAAATACGTTGTTTACTATGAAATATGTGTAAAATAGCGATGTTCGTATGGCGTCGTTCGCGTCCGCGTTTTTTGTTCGCCGATTATCTCAAAAAGTTGACAAGATAATTGAGATTTGTAAAAGCCAAAAGTTGTGGCATGTCGAGACAAAGCTTCGGATTGATTTTGAGCCCATTCTGATCTACCAATTTCGTACCATAAGCCTCCGACTGAGGACCTGAAAAACCTTGAAAAATGACACTTTTGTACGGGAAGTACCCGAAAAAGGCATTTTTCGGGGTTTCGATCAAGGCAAACTGCCATTTTTTTGCAAAAATAATGGGAGCCTTCAAACAACCTAACACCTACTTGCCCATAAATTTGGTCCAAAATCAACATTTCTTGAAATTTTTGAAATTTTGTTCGAAAATGACACTTTTGTATGGAAAATGGTCGAAATAGTTATATTTTAAGGTCAAAAATGCTATGAAAAAAGGGTCCATTGAAGTTTTGGTTAAACATTAAGCGGGAGGTAAACTAAATTGCTGCGGAGCGGAAAAGTTTGGATTACGCATGTAATTCGTTTTATTTCCTTCATTCTTTTCAATTTTTATTTTTGACAATAGTTGAGATTTCAGTCACTCATTGTCTTTTGATCAATATTTTCTCTCCGTTTAGTTTGTTTGCTTCTGGTTGCGGTTTTGGGAGACCAAGTCATGGTAACTTACAAATTTTTCTAAAAAAAATTTTTGCATTGTGTCGATCGATGACATGAAAAGTATTTTTTCATTTTCCATACAAATTGACTTTTCAAAAACGAAGGAAAACCAAAAAAAATATACCACGCGATGAATTACCTCAAATTTAAAGCAATGTCAATCCACCATGTTATATTGGCAAATGTTTTTTTTTTGTTTCAAAAATCCATTAATTT